CCCAGACGATGGAGTGGCCAATGCGCTCTGGCTGCTTCATCTTCTCAGGGACTCGCAGTTTCTTTGTGTTTCTTCCTCAGGGCCCTTTAACCTTCTCCTTGATACTGAAAGCTTCTTGCTATGAGGATGACAGTGTTTTTCTTTCTTCTCGGGGTGTGTAGGGGCTGCCATGGACTTGAGATGGGCATTTGGGTTTTGACTCTCTACCAAAGGGAATGGCTGGGCTAGGCAGCCACTTGTGTGTTGCCTTTATTTTGTAGCCAGATGCTCACTTTCAGGCAACTGTCTTGTGTTTTTTTCCAATGAGTGTCTATCTTTGATAGTTGTTTTTTATTTTTTGGTTTTTAAGTCATAGTCATAACCATACCCTTCCCTTTCCCAAACTTATTAATATTTATTGTGCACAAAAATGCCTTTAATCAATCTAGCCTCTATTTTCAATTATCTTAGCCACACTTTGCTGATTATTGCTACATAACAGATGGGTATTCAGTAATAGGTACTTGAGCTTCTCTAAGTCTTGGTTTTATCTTTCATGTCTGAAAATATTTGAAGGAAACAAATCAAAGCAACATTTAATTTCTGTGTGATTCCACTGTAGACTCAACCACAAGGGATCCCTGTATTGTTTTCTTTACAATTCTCCACATTTAAACAGCTTTAGTATTATTTCTTTCCTCACTATTTTGTAAGGATGCAACTTTCTGAATTTATGTCACAGCCAAATTCCAATACCAGTTACTGTCTGCAGTGGGAAGGAACAATTTAACAAAGCAGGATATCGCATGCTATTTAAAATCCAATTATAAAAGCTAAAGCTAATTTTTTTTTTCTCAAGAAATGCTTTGTTTTGTTTAAGGCTGTGGTGCCTACCATAACAAAACGTATGAATTAAAACATATATTTGAATTCTTTAAGCAGAGATTAAACAGAGCATTTTTATGCTGTTCAACCAAGACACAATCTTTCTTAAATTAACAAATACTTGTCCCTCACAATAGAAGCTGAACCGTTTAGTTCACCAGTTTCTCAATACTATTTCTTATTCTTTTGCCCATGAAGGTCAATGGATTGAGACCCTTAACTCATACCAGAAATGTATGAATTACATGTGCGTCCATGGAGACCGCTGCTTCTCAAGAGAACTCCTGTGGGCACAAGGTGTTGGGCAATGGGGCCCTTTGAGCAGGAACCTGTATTTTCAGAAGGAGTTCTGGCAGTCCCACTTCTGTTTGTCAAGAGGGTTCCTAGGGGCACAGTGCCAACCCCAGGATGAACTATTCTCAGCATCCCGGGTCTGTGCTCCTGATTTCTGACTATTGCCTGTTCCCCTCATCCTAGTGGTCCTCCCTAAAGTCTGGTCTGTGTCAGGCCCTCCTGCCTCCCACAGGTCATAGGACTCAGTGGCTGTACAGCCTTACAGAGCGACTCAAAGCTGTGTCCACTGAGGATATCTCCTGGCTGTGATGATGCTCCCAAGCACTTCAAAGGAAAACTCAAGGAACCATTTTGAAAGCCACTAGCTTGCCTCAGCTCAAAGTTGAAAACTCAGAATCCTCCAGGGGTTATGGAGGAGTGGGAAATGGAGGACGTGGAAGATGATAGGTGGGAATATGGTGGGCAGTGGGGTTCACACTCCAGGGGACAGGTAGCTGGGACGGAACTCCTGCAGACTTTATGGTCATAGTGCGCTACAGGTGGTGGGGGACCAGTGTAGGGACACAAGTTTAAGTGTGGGTGGTGAACAGACCGTTTTTATAAACCCTGTCAGTACATTTCTGAGACTGGATAGCTTCATTTAGAGACAGCATCAAAAGCCTATGCCTGAGGCACTTTCCTGAGGCATGGATCATAACATCCTTCTGAGGCCCTGCTCACATATTTATGTCCTACTGTTTCTCATGTCTATGAAATATGATGATTAATAAAACACAACTTAGGTAACAGCTCTAAAGAATTTATAGAAGCTGCTTGATTCCTTTTCCCTATTCAGTTGCTGTTGAAACTGCTATCTTGTGAGAGAATCAACAGAATGTTGACATAAAAAAGAAGTCCCTATACTTGAAATCTTTGATTACCATTTCTCCCCATGGATCTTGCAGGATTTCGGTGAAAGTTGACTAATTCCACTATGTTTGAGGAACCTCCAATACAAGGACTTGACTGTCTTGCCTGAGGCACGCTGTTAGGTCCCACACCCCAGGTTTTCCATGAGAGAAAGCAGTGCTGCATTAATTCATTCAGGGACATTCAGTGTGCCAGGCACTGGCTTAAGTACCAGAACAGGGTGGTAGACAATGGCCTCCACACTAGAAACCTCAGGAGGAAGCAAGTGGAGGATTTAGGTCAGTTCACTAGTGGTCAAGGGGTAGGAGGTGGGGGCAGAACCAGTGTTCTCCTCCAAGCCCCTCCCCTGCAGTGAGCGGGGAGGGGGCTGGCAGCTGGACTTCTGACCTTCACACACCTGGCCCTGAGCGAGCACAACTAACCCTCGGATTGGGCCCGGGTGGCCTTTTGTTTAGTGCAAGACCTGGGTTTAGTGCACAGAAATGCCAATAGTAAGAAGTTAAATGGCTTAAGAACATGGTCCGAATTTCCAGGCAGGAGTGGAACAGAGCAGAATGGAATGTGAGGCTGTGAGCTGGTGCCTTGGCTTAGAGCAGAGACACGAAGCGTCTCAGGATGACGAGGCTGGCTGGCAGCCTGTGGATGCAGGGCCAGTTTGTGTTCTCAAGGTGGGGAAAGACTATACTTCAACTCAAAACTCAAAGGGAAAAATGGCTTTTGTTTCCCTAGTGACTTCTGGAGACAGGCACAATTTTTACACTTCTCCAAGGTCATGGGTCTTCTCCTAGACCAGTGCTGCTTAAACTTGGATGAGCGTGTGACTAATCGGAGGATCTTACTAAAATGCAGGTTAGGTTCGGTAGGTCTGGGGCAGTGCCTGAGATTCTGCTTCTAACAAGCTCCCTCCAGGGATGCTGAGCCGCTGCTCTGGGGCTTGCTGGTCTGCGGGAGGTGCTTTGAGGAATGGGCCTGGAACCCACCTGGTGGCCTGGGAGTGGGAACTGGCCTCACTTGCTTTGTGGAAGGCATGATCCCTGCTTCAGCCACACTTGCACCCTACAGTCGCCACGTTGTCTGCAGTGGCATCTCCTTCTCTCAAGGGTCTTAGGTAGTTTAAGGGGATATTGCCAGAGAGTGTGTATTGGTTGTTGTGTTTAATTATTTAAAAAGATCTATGTGGTACTTTGCAATACATCTTCAGGGCAGAATGCTAGTAGTAGCTGTCATGCAAATTCAAGGTCTCCTTAATCCCACCTCACTGCACGGCATTGCCTTGACCCACAGACCTTGTGGTCTCGCATATAGTGGGGGTAGTTCACCATAGTCAATGCTGCAGAAAGCTTTTGACAACCCATTATGAAATGATGAGCTCGTGTTGTGCCCAGTGATTTAATCCTGCAGCAGCCTCTTTAAAATGGATGGGTTACAGAATAAACCTGTGAAAGGGACTAAATCCATTTGTTATATTCTGGGCATTGGCTTTCGCTGTCATTATAGTTGGTCATTTGGGCCTCCTGGCTTAAAAACAATTACAGAAATCTAAAAGCACATTTCCTTTTGACGTTTTGTTACTTTGGGGCTACATCAAATGGCTTCTCTCAGAAAGGAAGTAAAGGCTCAAGGTTCATTCGAAATTAAACTCAAAGTGATTTCAGGAAAATTGAGGTTTCATTTCACCATCTGGGTTTAAAAGCCCCAGTCTTTCATTCAGTGTGGTGCATCCAAGGCCAGCAAGTGGCTTTTTCATCCATTTCCCAAGCTGATGGTACTACTTTCTAATGAAAAGATAACCATGTAACATAGACCAAACTGATCTTCCAAAATTACTTCTAGTGGATTTGGAGGAGAGGCTCGCTTAATGTTTCTTCATTTATTCTTATAGGTCACATTCCATCCCCCAAACATTCCATGGGTCTGTCAGCAACTTTGATTGAAGCAGAAATTTATCTTATCAAATATCCTGATGAGGGCTTGGAAGAGTCTTTGCTGTTAAAAAGGTTTTGTTGTCATGGTACTTATCTTAATCAGGTTTGGCTGGCTGACACAGCTCTCACTCATAGGATTCTAGAAGGAAAAACAATCTAACCAACTTAGAAATTATCTGGTCCAACCAACTTATTTTTCTGCTGAGGAGTTTGCCAAGGTCACCTGGGCTTGTGTTTGAACCCCAGTCCTGGGTTCCCCGCCGTCTCCCACAGTGCATTTCTGCGTTGATTTATGGATGTGGTAAGATGGCTGTGAGGCATGTTCTGTCCGATGCCATTCATTGCGTTTCTCTGCCATGCAGACCCTGCCTTCTAGCAGTGTCTCAGCAGACTCACCAATGCTCCGGGGAGGGGAAATGGCACAGTAGGAGCCCAGGCTCTACAGTTTGGTGTTCTGGAGCAAATCCTGCCTTGCTCTATAGATGCTGTGTGACTTTGAGCAAGCCGCCGAGCCTGTCTGTGCCTCTTTTTCTTCAGATGTGAAATGGAGACCTTTCCCACAGGATAGTGGAGGAATGAATACCCACAGAGCAGTTGGAGCAGTCAGGTGCATCATATGTGGATTTGCAAACTATGTGTTTCCACTAGGTATTGAGTTGTGAAATCAGTGTTATGAATCATAAATAGCATTAGAAAAAATTAAATGGCATATAGTTTAATAAGATAGAACAAAATTAGAGTGCTCTGCATGCATGGTGTTCCTTTGAGGTGTGTTTGTGTGTAATGGCTCATGGTGTTCCTTTGGTTGTGTGTGTGTGTGTGTGTGTGTGTGTGTGTGTAATGTATTTCTCACTGCAGATTTTAGGTCGACTTTGGAAGCCTCAGCTGCAGGAACTAGAGTGAATGGATCCATTCTCTAAGCACAGACCTATCGGGGTGAATTGACACATGTTAGCATGGATGCACAAGGTGAGCTCTGGCTGAAACGTCAATGTGTTTCCTTTGCAGAGGGAGACCAAAGGGCAGTTTCTTATTGACCACATCTGCAACTACTACAGCTTGCTGGAGAAGGACTACTTCGGCATTCGTTACGTGGACCCAGAGAAGCAGCGGGTAAGAGCTGACCTCTGTCTGGACACATTTGGGGGAGTCACTCAGGCTGTGGGATGCTAAAGAGTTTCCTCCCAGAACAATCGTGATGCATTCTTGTTCTCATGGTTGCTGATGGTTGACCACATGAAACTGACCAGTCTGGTGTGTGTGTGTGTGTGTGTGTGTGTGTGTGTGTGTGTGTGTGTGTGTGAGAGAGAGAGAGAGAGAGAGAGAGAGAGAGAGAGAGAGAGAGAGACTGGCATTGTTCCCACTGGACTGGGTGGGGCAAGAGAAGAGAACACTTACTTAGGCCTTTTCAGGAGTTGCTCCCACCTGGTTGAAGACAAAATGTTCCTGTGCCCTTCAAAACGTCTCACTACAAAAAGCTACTGGTACACGGGAGACTGCGTAATGGGTACAAGGTTTTCTTTTGGGATAATGAAAACATTTGGAACTTGATAGGTGGTCGCTATACAACATGGTGAATATACGAAGTGCCACTGAAATGTACACTTTAATTTTATGCCCCCTCAGTTTAAAAAGCTTTGGCAGATGAAGGGTTAAGATACTTTGAAAGCCGTTCCTTGGGACCCACTATATTTGACAGCCTTCATTATATTCTTCCTCTTAGACACACCTGTTCTTTCTGGCTTCTGTTGATGCTTAAGAGTGGGCAGGGGAGTCTTGTCTTTGGAGTAGTGCACCAGCCTAATTGTGTTCAGGCACGGGATGTGTCAGTCACAGTGACGTATGCTTCTCACATCCAAAGGCCCCAGGAATCTCCACCTCAGCTCCCACTACCTGGGGATTCCCCTTCCACACCGCTGCTGTGGATCCAAGAAATGGGTTAGGAGGCTCTGTATCTGCTTGTTACCCTGTCACACTGCCAAGCAGGGCAACCTGGGAGAGGCTCAGCTGGGGGTGGTCAAGGATAGGAGGACAGGGCCCCTCAGACTTCTTTAATTTTCTTTCCTCCTTACCAGTGTCCCTGGCCATCTTCCTGTCCCCTTTCCCCTCCATAGAACACCACCTGGTCTTTGATTTTGTGTTGACTGACCTAATGCAATGAGAAGCAATGAGGGAGGAGGATGTTTGAGGGATAGACTGGATTTTCTTCTGAAACATGGAGAATCTTACTAGGATCTTGGAGTCCTAATCTCCTATAAAGGGATACAGTGTTGTGGCTCAGAAGAAGGAGGTTTTGCTGTCCTGCAGCACTTGCAGGAGCCCTTTAATGGGCCTAGCATTTATCTGAGTGAGAGGAAGGCAGGAGGACACTGATGAGGATGTAGGGCTGACATGAGATCACAGAGAGGATTTGTGTGGCATTTACTACTGATTAACAGTGGTTCTCAGACCTGGCCCTGCAACAAAATCCCCTTAGGTGTTGTGAACATGCTTAGTGTGGACCCTATTCTAAAGAAGGAGGTTTTGCTGTCCTGTAGCACTTGCAGGAGCCCTTTAATGGGCCTAGCATTTATCTGAGTGAGAGGAAGGCAGGATGCGGATGTAGGGCTGACATGAGATCACAGAGAGGATTTGTGTGGCATTTACTACTGATTAACAGTGGTTCTCAGACCTGGCCCTGCAACAAAATCCCCTTAGGTGTTTGTGAACATGCTTAGTGTGGACCCTATTCTATATCTCCCAAATCAGAATCCTGGGTCAAGGGCCAGGAACAGGTATTCCTTTACTACTGATTCACAGTGGTTCCCAGACCTGGCCCTGCAACAAAATCCCCTTAGGTGTTGTGAACATGCTTAGTGTGGACCCTATTCTAGATCTTCCGAATCAGAATCCTGGGTCAAGGGCCAGGAACAGGTATTCTAATACATCCTGAGGCTACTTTTGATACCGCCATCCCAGCTTTGGTCGTCTTTTAGTGTTGGGGACCATGGCATAAAGACATATAGACATAACTTCTAATGGCCTATTATGAAGATATTATCCTTATATGGAGAAACAGGCTCAAAGACATTGTTATTCATCCAAGGTCTCACAGCTAGTAAGTGATGGAGTGAGTATTTGAGTTAAGGGTTATGGTTTAAACTCTAACCCCTATATGCCAAACAGATTCTGTGCACTCTATTAATCATCTAACCACCACTGAAAATAGTTTGGGTATGTGTGTGTGCAAAATTACATTTTAAATTATAAACAGCCAACCTATAGAAGTCATTCTAACTACCATTAGTTGAACACTATAATGTGTCAGAAATTTTACTCACATGGTCCCTAGTCTCCCCTAAAACACTGCAAGGAAGAGGGAAACTGAGGTACAGAAGGGGTTAGTGGCTTGCCAAAGGCCACATAGCTAGTAATTGTTGGAGGAAGGATGGGATTTTAACCCATATTCTTTCCATTTCATCTCTCACATGAAAATTTGAAATGCAGTCTAGATCAGGGATCTGTAACCTTTTTCTGTAAAGGCCCATATTGAAAATATTTTCAGCTTTGTGACCTACACAGCCTCTGTCGTAATTACTCAATTATTCTTTCAATTATGGAAAGCAGCCATAGATAATATCCAAAGTAATGGATGTGGCTGTGTTCCAAAAAAAACCCTTTTTTTCCCAGTAAAAGTGTTTTACAAAAAATGGGTGTTTGGCCATAGTTTGCTGACCCATTGCCTAGAGTCCTAGACAATAGCTGGAAATGACTTAAATGCATTAGCCCTTTTCATTTCTCTTCACTCTCTCATTGGGGAGATAGGGAATAAAACATAAGAGAAGCGTTTAGAATTGGAGTTAGAGATATCAATATGAACTCACGATTTTTTAAAAAACATGCATAAATAGATATAGAAATAAATATAAGTGTGTATATATGTTGGCTAGTACACATACATATATTTATAGGTTCTGTCCACCGAGATGGCCTAAAAGCAGTGACATCACAGTAGCAATGAGCACACCTAGCCCCCTAGATCTTGGTTTCTAATACGTTCTCTGATAAAAGTAACTAGGGCTCCTTGCAGAAATGACTGATTCTAGGCCTGGCATAGGGAAACCACAAGATGACTCTGAAGCATCTTGTGCTGCCAGAAAGTAAGGACGTGCTCATAAAGCTAAAAGGTAGGGCCCTAGGAAAGGCACAGAGCCAACCTGAAAAAACGTCAGTGGCCCAACCTGGAACAATAGGAGCAGCAAAAATAAATAACAATAGTGTGGAATTATAATTCCTGGAATAAAATAAAGATCCACGAGTCCATAATGATATAAACAAAATAACTGAATACATAAAAAGAGGGAGATGGGGCAGCTCGTCCTTACAGAAGAATTCCAATTAATAAATGTACAAGGAATGATAGAAATTAGAAACTGATGGTAGAACACCACAATAATAATTGTGGGCAAGGTCTGTGGATGAAAGCTAAAATTAGTGGACAAAAGCTTGAGGAGAAACTTGTTTCAAAGAATCTGCCTCCCCTCATATTTGTTAATAACAAGGGGAAAAAGATAACTCTACAGTGGAGAAACCTGGCAGACAACATTTTAACCAAGCCGGCAAGGCTAACATCTCCAGTAAAAAGATGTACCAACAGCACCTACTCCTGATATCATGCACTGGGAAGGGCACAGTCTCTACAATGTTCTTCCCAAGAGTGCATAACCTCATTCAAACTCTGAGAAAACATCAGACAAACTGAAGTGAGAGACAGTCTCCAACGTGACTTACCAATATTCTTCAAAAGTGTTCAGGTCATGAAAGGCAAGGAAAGACTGGGAAACTCACAATTTAGAGAGATGCCTCTAAGGCAAGGTCGGGTCCAGGATTGGATTCTGGAGCAGAGAGAGGTGTCAGTAGTGGGCAAATTGGTTTAAGTCTTCATGTTACTTAATAGTATTGTGTTAGCATTAGTTTTTAAATTTTGACTATTGTACTGTGGTTATATAAGATGCTAACATTGGGGAGGATGGGTGAAGGTTATACTTATACCATCTTTGCAAGTTTTCCATCGGTCTGAAATTATTTTTTTAAGTTAAAAAAAAGAGAAGTCTTTAGGTTGATGTGCTTCATTGTTCTTTATATTTTGACTTGGTTTAGTTTATTTTTTAGTGTTCAGAAATGGGTAGTAGATTAGTGGAAAAAATGTGGATCATGACCCCCAAAACAAACTGTCTTAATCTGATGTAGCCATTCAGTTGCTTATCGGGCTGTCTGAATCGTTCTGTTTTTCCCCCGAATCACACAACTATTATATAGCCTTTTGATTTTGAGGCTACAATGTGAGCATAGATTCCACATAGGTTTCTGAACAGTTGCTGCACGAAAATGCATAGACTGCACTCAGAAAGATATGAATTAAATCACATCTCTGCTGGTTAATAAGCTGTGTGATGTTGATCAAGTGACTGATCCTCTCTGTCCTGATTGTTAAAACAGATAACAATACCTACATGTAGGGTTGATATGGGAGTTAGAGAAAAGTTATACAAATGCTTAATAAATGGTAAATCCTGAGTACATGGTATTTATTTTTATTAATTACTATTATTGCTATGTATTGGCTAGGTGAGGCAATTGCACGAGGAAATAAGGCCCTGATGAGCAAGTTAAAACCTAGAAATGCTAATAACTTCACTTAAAGGCAGATGGCCATTATTATGATCTTCGGGAGAGATGAGGGAAAGTGACCCTTGGCTCCTTAGAAAAATGGACTCAAAGGAACAGACACTCTGATATGAGAGTTTTAAGCAGAAATTGATTGACCAGCATTTTTTTTTAGCAGTTCACGTACTTCTTCTCAATGGAAAATAAAAACCAATGAATTATTTGGATAGAAAACTAGTCAACAGAGAAAATCTGATTAGTTAGAAAAGCTGAAGTGGAACTTACCTCTGCTGTGGGAGTTGGTGGTTTGCCTACAAGCCTTCGCAACTTGGCTTATGGAAAACCATTGTGGAATATTCAATATTTAGCACTCTCACATTTGGAACACCATATGTTTGACAAGATGTCTCATGCACCATATGCTCTGAGAGGGGTGAGGACTGGGTCAGTAAACGATGACTATCTTT